GCCTCAGACCCCACTTGGTCGTGAGGACGTGCGTCGACGAGAGGGAGGGGACCACCTCGGGGGAGGTGACCGAGCCGAGGCCGCGCGCCGCCATCGCCTCTGCGAACTCGGCCGTCGCCGCCGCCTCCATGGTGTAGTCGAGCTCGTTGACGAACCCGGTCCCCCACGCGTCGACGAGGCCGACCACGTCCGTGTTGACGTCGTTCGCCTCCTGGTACGCCGGCGCAAAGAAGCGCAGCATGAAGAGGTCGAGCGCCACGTCGTGCAGCACGCTCGGCCGCTGCACCTTGATGGCGACCTCCTCGCCGCTCGCACGCAGCGTGCCCCTGTAGACCTGACCGATGGAGGCCGCCGCCACCGGCTCGGCCGAGAAGGCCGAGAAGACGTCCTCGATCCGGATCGAGAGCTCTCGCTCGATGATCTCGCGGCCGAGCGCCGCCGGGAAGGGCTGGACGCTGTCCTGCAGCTTCTCGAGGCCCTTGGCGTAGGGCGCCGGAAGAAGGTCGGGGCGGATGCTCAGCACCTGCCCAACCTTGATCGCAGTGACTCCCAGCCGCGTGACCAGCTGCAGCAACTCCTCCGAACGGCGGTCCACCATCGCCTCCTCGCGGCCGAGCTGCTTGTCAGCGAGCACCTTGCCCACGAAACCTGCGCTGAGGAAGGCGATCTCTGCGGCGCGCCTCAGCGCCACGAGCGGCCGGGCGCGGAAGAGTGGTGGGTGCTAAAATTTTACATGCGAGGGAGCTTGATTGTAAAATTCTTTTATTTCGATCGGGGTCGACAGCTATAGCCTATACACACTGTAGTACTGTCTGACACACTGTACTGTCTGACGTATTTCAGCGCAGCTGTCGGCCATATTGAGCGGTTCGTCCGCGTCGCGCACTCGTCCCAACCGAGGGCCGCAGACTCGTTCTGCGCGCAAACGGCTGGTGACGCTGTGTTGCCCTTGAGCTAGTCCTTCCCCGGTCGCCTAGCCTCTGCGCTGTCTGGCGGACGCCTGTACGCCAAGCGGTCGGCCGCCTCGGGGTCGTACTCGGCCTCGCGGTAGGGAGCGTCCAACACGGCGGTGCACGACGGCGCTGAGGCGACGCGGTGGTGCTGCGTCAGATGTGCCGACTGCGCGACGAACGACGAGTGTGCAGCAGTGGAGGCGAGCAGCAGCATACACGATGCGCCGGACAGATCCGCGAACGCACGCAAGAGAGAAGTAAATAGCGACCTCCGACGGGGAGGGCCACGCCTCCCCGAGCCTGGAGAGGAGCCGGCGGAGGGGGGGGGCGAGCCAGGGATGATAGAGAGGCCGCGAGTGCGGGCACGACTCGCCGACCAGGGAGAGCGGGCTCGACCTCCTGGGGGTGGAACTGGGCGCGACCCAATGCCACCGTTCTCACCCGGGGTGACCCCGGCCGGGTCGCCGACACTCTCAGAACCGGTGGAGCTGGGAGAGGCTGGCGAAGACGAAAGGCGGCAGCGGAAGAAGCGACACCAACAACGAGGGAAAAGACCACACCGGCCGTCGTATGACGCTCGGCAAGCGAGCAAGAGAGCGAATCGGGGAGAACCGGAGCCCCGAGAGGACCGAAGGTGGAGCTCCGGGACCGAGGACTAAGATATTACAGAATTCGCGCGACTCCGCAGC